GCCTCCCGCCTCCCGGAGCGCGGTGGCGCAGGCGCACCAGGCGCCAGTCGGTCCCCAACGCCCTTACCGCCCGGCTTTCACGCCCCTCCCATGTAGCAAGCGCAGAACCGCCCTCCACCGGCCCGGGCCCGCGGGCCGCAGCCTCCAGGTGCCTTAGCGGCGCACGCGCAAAACCCTGTCTCACGCATGCGCGCCGCTCGCCTCTGGCCGTGGTACCCGGCCGCCTCGCCGCGCAGGCGTAGAAATCCTGGGAGGAGGCGGGAGAGATGGGGGGGGGCTGGGAGCTTGCGGCGTCCCCGCCTTTCGGGTAGCCTTTCAGCCCACCCAACTCAACAACTATGCATATGGGTTTTTTTCTTGAGAAAGGGAAGGAATGCGGCGCTAGAGGGATGCGCTTCGTTTCCATGACAACTGCGTGGGTGGGCGGGAGTGGGTCGTAAGAAAAACCCGGTTGTCGCCCCCTTATACCCGCCCCGGCACGGGGCTGCTCGCGATCTGCAAACCACCTATGACCCGTCGGGGCGGGGCGCCCTGGGAATATTCCGCCTCAGGCGGGTTTATTAACTATGGCAACGCATAACCCTTCCAACCATGCCCAGCACCCCCCTCCTCCGTCCCCAGTCCACGCATTTACATCCTGAGGCATGGAAGGGAGACCAGAGCGAAAGCCCCTGGGCTAGGGAGGGTAATCCTGGTGCGGGCATGACTTAAGCAAGTGCATGGAAGCAGGAATGCCTCCAGAACACGGGTTGGGGGAGCTGGAAGGCCAGACGAAAGAAATTTGTAGTTTAGTATCCTTCAGGAGTCCTCAAGGTCATTCCACAAACGGTGCTTCATCCACTCAACAAATACTTATTGTGCGTCTACACAGTTCCAGGGGCAGTGAAAACAAAAGACAAAAAGACGATCTATACCTTCATGGAGCTCACTTTTTACTTGGGAGAATCAGACAATCAACAAAATAAATGATATATAAGTGAGAAGGTGATAAGTATTATGAAGAAAAAGGGGGCAGCCCTGACTGGTGTGCTCAGTGGTTACATCGCCTGATCAAGGGCCAGGTACCTGGGTTGCAGGATGTGTGTGTGTCTCTTTCCCCTCTCCCTCTTTTCCACTCTCTCTAAAAATCAGTGGAAAAATATCCTCAGGTGAGGATTAACAAACAAAAAAAAGGAAAGAAAATGGAAGGAAAAGGGGTTGTGGAGTATGGTGTGTATGTGTAATTTAAAAATAAGGTAGCTAGGGGAGGCCCCCAAGACCGACATTTGAGGAGGGAGGTGAAGCAGGTGAGGGAGCAAGAGCAGCGAGGGGCAGGACTTTGCTTGTGTTCCAGGGACATCTAGAAGGCAGTGGGGATGGAGGGAGCCAGGGATGGGCAGGGTGGGGAGCCAGATGGTGCAGGGTCTTGTGGGTCACTGTAAGGATTTCGGCCTTTCCTCTACATGAGATGAGAGCCATGGGAGGGCCTTGCGCTGGGGAAGGACTTGATTTGATTCTGGTTTTAATAAGCTTCCTCTGGGGACCTGACTTTAGGGAGCCCACTGAAGAGGCCACTACAATGGTTCAGGTGATGGTGGCTTCAACCGCGGTGGTAGCCGTGAAGGTGACGTGAAATGGAATTTGATATAGGAAGTGAGAGGAAGACAGAAGTCAAGGGTGACTCCAGTGTCTTTAGCCTGAAGGATGGAGCTGCCAGAAGCAAAGGTGAGCCTCCTGGACGTTCCACCTGTGTCTGCAGGCGCTTCATGTCCCCCACACCCCAGAATGACCTCAGCATCTTCTACTCTCACTTCTCCATCCAGGTCTCTCGGGAACCCCTAATTTCTTCCAGTAGCGAGTGTACTGGCTGCTTTCTGTAACTGCTGCCCACACTTTGCCACACTTGGGTCCCTTTATTAAACTAGCAAACTCTGCCCTGGCCGGCTTGGCTCAGTCGGCCTGCGGACTGAAGAGTCCCAGGTTCGATTCCCAGTCAAGGGCATGTACTTCAGTTGCAGGCTCGATCCCTGGCCCCTATCGGGGCACATGCGGGAGGCAACCAATGGATGTGTCTCTCACATTGATGTTTCTCTCTCCCCCTCTCGCACTGAAAAAGCAATGGAAAAATATCCTGGGGTGAGGATTTTTAAAAAAAGTATTACCGTAAAGTTGGTCCTGGAAGACGTGTGGTCTAGCAGGGCAGGAGGGGGACCCCTGGAAAGAGCCAGAAGAACGTGGAAGGGGAATCCGGGGTCAAGGTGGAAGCTGGAACTGGAGGGCCAGTCCACAGGTGACCTGTGTGGGAGGATATCTGAGGGGCACATCCTGAGAGGAACCCAGGACCCCCCCTCCGCCTCCCACTTCCCAGGTGTTNAATCCGGGGTCAAGGTGGAAGCTGGAACTGGAGGGCCAGTCCACAGGTGACCTGTGTGGGAGGATATCTGAGGGGCACATCCTGAGAGGAACCCAGGACCCCCCCTCCACCTCCCACTTCCCAGGTGTTGGGGCAGGTGCNGAAGGATGGAGCTGCCAGAAGCAAAGGTGAGCCTCCTGGACGTTCCACCTGTGTCTGCAGGCGCTTCATGTCCCCCACACCCCAGAATGACCTCAGCATCTTCTACTCTCACTTCTCCATCCAGGTCTCTCGGGAACCCCTAATTTCTTCCAGTAGCGAGTGTACTGGCTGCTTTCTGTAACTGCTGCCCACACTTTGCCACACTTGGGTCCCTTTATTAAACTAGCAAACTCTGCCCTGGCCGGCTTGGCTCAGTCGGCCTGCGGACTGAAGAGTCCCAGGTTCGATTCCCAGTCAAGGGCATGTACTTCAGTTGCAGGCTCGATCCCTGGCCCCTATCGGGGCACATGCGGGAGGCAACCAATGGATGTGTCTCTCACATTGATGTTTCTCTCTCCCCCTCTCGCACTGAAAGAGCAATGGAAAAATATCCTGGGGTGAGGATTTTTAAAAAAAGTATTACCGTAAAGTTGGTCCTGGAAGACGTGTGGTCTAGCAGGGCAGGAGGGGGACCCCTGGAAAGAGCCAGAAGAACGTGGAAGGGGAATCCGGGGTCAAGGTGGAAGCTGGAACTGGAGGGCCAGTCCACAGGTGACCTGTGTGGGAGGATATCTGAGGGGCACATCCTGAGAGGAACCCAGGACCCCCCCTCCGCCTCCCACTTCCCAGGTGTTGGGGCCCCCTCCCCCCGTCAGCGGAGGCTGGGGCGCGGCTGGGGCGCGTGGGCCAGGGGAGAAGACACAAACAGAGCAATTTCAAAGACAACCAGAAACGCTCTTTATTTACCAGACGGCAATACGTGGGCCCGGCCCTGAGCCAAAAACAACTTAAAATCTGACTGGGGCTCCACTTCGCCCCTTAAAATAAACGCTAGGCAGTTGCCATTCCCATCCGGGCACTTTCGTTGACTTAACTGTTAAAAACGGGAGGAAAAAAGCCACCTCTAAGCACACTCTCGGGCTTCGCCAGGGGTGGGCGGGAGGTGGCGGAGAGCCGCCGCCAGCCTCTCGCTGGGGGAAAGGACCCATCCCTGATTTGCGGTCGCGGGCAGGGGCGCAGTAAAACGAATGCACAACTACTAACAGGAACTACAACCAAGGGGAGCTGGAGGGTGTCAGCCCACCTCAGGGCTCTCCACCCCCGGACGAGCCTGCGGAGACACAGTGTCCTGCAGTGCGTCCCCTCCCTCCCCCAGGTTCTGATGGATGGGCTGCTGGGGGCAGGGAGGGAGGGGTCCCTGTGGTTCCCGTGAAACCGGGGCTCTGCAGGTTTAAGTGGCTGAAGAAGGCGGACAAGGCTGGTCTCAAGTCACAGTTCCATCTTGAAGTTCTTGGCCTGCGGGTCCAAGCCAGGTTTGTTCACTCCGGCTGGCCCGGGAGAGCTCGGCGGGGCCCTGTAGGTCCCAGGATCCAAGAATTCCACAAGGAATGGAGCCCATGGGCTGGGAAGTCAAAGGGGCAGGGCTGGTGTCTCCAGCCAGCTCCAGAAGGACTAAAGATCCATGAACTGTGGCCCAGAAGGAGTCACAGGGCCATGTGATCCAAGGCACAGAGGTCCTGCTGCACCAAGAACCCACAGACGCCCGCAGGACACAACCCTCAAGGCTGAGAGGTCCCAGGGGCTGGGCCGGCCTGGCTCCCCAGCAGCCACTGTTGTTTCAGGATCCATCGGGGCTGCAGATCTGGGGACCAGAAGTTCCAAAGGGCTGGGTGAGTGGTGGAGAGGGTCCAGGAACTTAGTAGGGACTTAACCAGGATGGTTGGGGTGCAGGGAGGTGCACCTCCCGGTCCTCAGCGCTTGACCTTGCGGCCAGCTGAATTGCGCCCACTGCGGCGGTAGAGAGACTGCTGGCCACCATTGAGCGGGCAATACTTGAGCGTGTGGGCCTGGCCACCAGTGGCCCCACACAGGGGACACACGTAGTGCCGCAGGATGGGACACACCACCACACCCTCTGGAGTCTTCAGCTGGTGTGAGGAGTAGACGTGGCGCGATTCTCCGTTGTGCTTGCAGAAGTTGCACAGGGTGGCTGGGCCCCCGCTGGCCCCCGACCCTCCCAGCCCCGGATCCTGACCCAGCTCGGACTCAGGTCTTGGCTCCCCAATACCTTGGGCCTCCAGCCTTTGCCCCCGACGCTGGATCAGCGCCAACACCACCTGGCTCAGGTTGAAGTAGTCTTTCCACATGTCGAAGGGTGGCAGCTGCATGGTGCCCGGAGAGGATGGTGGGTGGCTGGGGAGAGGCCGGGGCTGGG